TAGGCTTTGCTGAAGATTACAGAAGAGTAATAATAAATGTGAAACAGGAATTAGTGTTATTAAGATCATCAAATGATAAGGATACTATTTGCGCAGCAACTGGAACCACTGATGCAAATTTAGACTGGAATTTAACTTTGGACAAAATCGTTTGGAGAGTACCACATGTGCGATTAAATGACGAACATAGAATAACACTGTTGAGACAACTGAAATCAGATAGAGATATTGTAATACCATTCAGAAGTTGGGAATTTCATGAATATCCAGTTTTACCTAAAACACAAAGACATACATGGACTGTAAAAACATCTACTCATTTGGAAAAAGCAAGATATGTAATATTTGCACTACAAACAAAAAAAAGGAATAATATACTAGCTAATGCCGGTCATTTCGATCATTGCAAACTAACAAATTGTAAAGTGTTTCTTAATTCACAATTTTTCCCTTACGACAACTTTAATATTTCTTTCACTAAGAAGAGGTACACTGTTTTGTATGATATGTACGCTAGATTCCAAAGTTCATACTACGGGAAAACAAACACCCCGATACTGTCTCCCGAGCAGTACGAATCAAAAGCTCCAATAATTGTAATAGATTGTTCAAAACAAAACGAATCTGTAAAGTCATCAAGTGTGGATATAAAAATAGAAATGGAGTTTGAAGAGAACGTTCCTGATGCAACATCTGCATATTGTTTAATTTTGCATGATAAAATTGTAACGTACACACCATTGACGGGATTAGTCAAAACAGTGTTGTAAATGAGTTTCACCACAACCACCAGTCGGCTATAAAAGGAGGAGCTTCGCACACCACCAATCAGTCTTTGCTCGTTCGTTGAATGGGTAACATCCTACACTACATCATGAGTAAAATGAGTTCTCCATCAGTCGTACAAAAGGATGCAGAGGAAGCAGCATTATTGGATCAAGAAAACCATCAAGAAATCGTCAATGAAATAGAAGAGTTTTTAAAGTTTCGAAAACAAGAAGACAAGGAGGACAAGGAAGAAAAAGAAGAAAAAACTAAAAAAAATGGCACTAAAAGGAAGCGGAAAGATGAAGATACAATCCCAATTAATATTTTGAAAGAAGTTTTCCTACGCATTTACTATCCTATCTCACTATGTTTGGGTAAAAGTGTAACAGCTGGACTAATGAAATCTTCGGAATATACACCTACAGTAATCTTGCAGCATGGTACAAAAATGGTTATATTTTCTGAAACGGCATGGGAATCTTTTCTAAAACATTTAAATCTAATTGAATGTTACTTAAATACTAATGTTTGCGGAAGGAAAACTAATATTCGACTTTTGGATTCTGACAATGAAATTGACATAGTAAAGAATCGTGGAACACTACAAGTACGATTTAGAGATTTAACTCAACATGAAAGTAAAATTTTACTCTCACGTGAAGAATTCTACATTTTAATGCATGCAACGTCTCCTATCTCTAGATATATGAAACAACTTGTATTCTCAAGTTCAATCATCAAAGAGTATTTAATTGATACACTGGAAAAACAACCGGAAAGCACCATATTATACGGACACGTGGATACATCTATTTTTAATAGATTGCCTCATGAAGTTGGTATGTGGAGACAGTTAAGGAACTTCGAATCAATTGATGAAGAAGCGATAGAAGCTGTTGAAGAATATGAAACTATAAACCAAGAAGAACCAGCAACCCAAGAAGTGTAATTAAAGAAAAACAGTATAAAAGAGTGACCAAGGCGCGGTGTGAATTCAGTTGAACACTATACGTGGTGGTGTGTAGATAGGGTTAAACATTATGGATATAAAACCCTGTGTAATAGAATTTCAAGCATTTCGTGATAACAAAGATGAATTTGTGATAAAAGAATTAGTGATTTTAGATTTGATTACACATGTCGTATACCCGTTTATATTTGAAGCTCCATTTTCAGTAAACCAATTGAATGACAA